CCTCAATCAACTGCATATTTCAGGCAAAAAAGCAGGGTATTTAAAAAAGTACCAGCTTTTTAGATAGACAACCTAGATAATTTGACTCCATAGTCTGCTGTTTATGAGCAGTGAGGATCTCACTTCACAGTCTATTAACTGAGGACAGACTATCCAGCAATTGGCTTATGCCATGTTGTAATATTTAACCAGAAACTTGAAAACTGTGTGAAGGAAACGCAGCTCGAGATTAATTGGAATTCAGGTGAGGCAGAATGAGTAATTTTTCTCCACAATGGTTCCACTCAGGAAAGCAAACCCACATCCTCTGTCCAGTCCTATGTGCATTTTCTCAGAGCCGTTTTGCAGGATGATTTCTTTGCAAAATTTCTCTGTTACACACGAGCACGAGGCTATGCTAACACCCTCGTGAACAACAATAGAGCCTCCTCCTCTATTATTATCTTCTATACCATTCACCAAAAGATTCTTAAATCTGAGAGGCAGGAACCTGTTCATTTGTACGTTTGCTTTTTGCTTTATTTGCACTGGGGCTCCACCTATTTGCCTTCAGGTCAGGAGGCTGCGTTGCTGGTGCTCAGCAGCACGTTTGAGCTGGGCAGGTCACGTTTATTCAGGCAGATTGGACTATGAACTAGCAGGTCCGTCCACACGTGGCCAGCCTTGACGAGCAGAAAGCAGCCACGGTGCCATGCTGTGTACGTACAGGTGCTTAAGGAGAAGCACTGTTATGACTGCTAGGTTGTTATTCAGGAAAGTTTTCTTAATAAAAGTACCAAACTACACAAACATAGGTGGCCCATTTTTCTCAAGTTTCAACAATACTTGTTTTGCTGCTATGTCTCAACTGTACTTCCCTTTTCTCCTCCTGGAAAGCAGCAGCTTCTGTTTTAAGGGGTGTAGTATGTCAAGGACATGTAACAACTATTTCTATATCCTCTGCCTGAAGCAGCCACCCAAATGCTGGAACTGCACATGCAGCAAAGTCCCAATACCCCAGCAACAGAAACCTCCCTGTCCTTCTCTTCTGGCCTGATCCCACCTCCAGCTGTACCCTCTGTACCACCTGTCACAAAAATAACGTGGGGCTTCAAATATACCGCTTATTATCATTGATTAGTATTACCATACATTATTTTGATGCCATTTAATGGGAATTGGCACCAAAAAAAAAAGGGGGGGAGGAGGGGAAGGGGAAAAATGTAGCTAAGGAAGAGAAATGGAAAGAGGGCGAGAACCGTAAGCTTTTTATGGGAAGGCAAGTTGCAGGAGTCCACCACAGGTGGACAGGTAGTCACCTATTTCGGTTCCCATTCTTCCAAAGAAAGAGTATTAGAGTGTGAAATACAGCAGAGAACATTCAGGCTGCTGACAGCATCAAAGAGCCAGGGGGAAAACTTTAGCCCCAAAGGGTGAAGTGAACAGAAGGGAGCAGCCAACCCAGGACAAGGTAGGAACAGAAATGACTACAGTTTTACTTGACAGCTATGTCTGGATCAACTGTAGAAAGAGAGCCGAGGTTTTCTCTTTGCAGGGCAGAGACCAACACATAGTTGCCTTATGGAAGGCCACAGTCCTGCAGACAGATGCATTTTGTTTCCACTTCCCCCTTCTAAGCGCGTGCGTTTTCACTGGCTGGAAGCAGCTCTGTTCAGCCAAAATGCCATTAGGCTGCTATGCGAGGAACCAGGTTAGATTTGCTGGAGCAGGAGAGCAATGCATGTGGCATTTCAATCCAACGGAAGCAAAGCTGACAGCCCATTTTAAAAACGTGCAGCAAATCACGATGCCAAGCAGGGTAAACAAAGCCACAAAATAAAAATAACCAAAGCCACTGCCAGGGCCCGTGCAGTATCTTGAAGAGGATGTCTCGTTTTTCCACTCTAAAACGATTAGTGAAATTCTAACTAGTTCCAACCATGGGATTAGACTAAAGGAGATGCCGGGGACCTCCCAGGTACAGGATGCAGAGCTTGACTGATGCATGGCTCTGTGGATGGGTGCGTGTTGAAGGCCTTTCCCCATGAGTACCTCAGTTAAAATTCCTTCCATTGAGTAATTTCTATCCAGATCCTGGCTGTGTTGGCTTTGTTCCCATATAAAAGAAACCTGCAGGCAGAAAGCAGCACCATCTGCCAAGTCAGACGCTGCTTTAATGAGTAAATTTGGTGTAAAGAAGAATGGACTATTACATCTTACCTCCAACAGCAGGACTGGTGTTTTTCTTTTTACAGGAGCAGATTACAGGGAGCATACTGCTCACACAAGAAGAATTTGCCCACGCATATATGCACTTAGCAACGTATTTTACCCAAGCAATCTTCAGAAAAACCCATCCAGTATTCAATATTTACATTCCCCATCAAAATTCAGTCTTTACATTTCTCTTTAGCTGTCAGACCAAGGGTCTTTTTGTGACTCTTTCAGCAGCCTCCACTTTCTATTCTTGCACGTGCACAACAACCCACAAGTGGGAGTGATGGCAAGGCAGAAACACGGGGCCTACCGTCCCGACACAGCTATTTCTCAGTCGGTTTCTCCAAGCTTCCTGTATCTTTTTTCCACAATTGTTTTGACTGGTTTGCTCTTAAGTCCCATCTGGAGATGGTTAGAGACTTGCATGGCATAGTTCAAGTTTCCCAAGAAACAATGGAAATATTCCTTTGAACATTTTCAGCCTTGCAAGTATCTTAAGGGCTAGGAAAAGATCTTTCTATTCTTGACAATGAATGTAGCACAATTTTTTATCCTTTCTCATTGGGTAATCTTCTCATTAGACCATCTTTGGAGAAAATGGCACATTCTCACTGGGCTGTTGGCAGTTTTCTTAATTGCATATTTCACTTTTTATTCTACACTTAAACTCATAATGGCAAGAAATACATACACACAAGAAGCAAACTATTATCCGCCATTTAAAGTCCCTAGAGAACTCATAAACATCTTAATATTTCTGGCCATTTCAGAAGAAAATGCCAGAGTATCCTCTAGCATGCATATGCTGCAGTGGAGGAGGGATGGCAGAGAAGGGAACATATATAATGCACTTTGAGTGATATACTGGCTATCACTGACAAAATTACAGTTTGGGAGAGTTTTTTCCACCCCCATTTAAGAATTCTGAAATATATATATATATGTGTATATCAGTTAACATAATCGGTGCTAAACAGACAAATTCTAAAGCTGATATTAGAGGATCTACTATAGGTTCCTCCTCTCTATCAGAGTCAGGAGATTTTGTCAGGATACAGCAACTTTAATTCCCTCAGAGTTCCTCCCAGCTCTGAGCACTGAGTTAAAACTGTATTTTACAGGTGCTAATATCCATAGGAATGTATTTCTGATTTGACTCCAGAGCCACACAGTCAGCTCTGGGACACATCCGTTGCCACTGGATTGCGCTCTAGAGCGGTAACTTACTTCTTAAAAGGCTTCCAGCTGTTAGGACTGCAAATAAAACCTTTACAATAGGAACAGGACATAAATCAACAGTGAGCCTGCTGAAGTGTTCAGGAACAGCGGAAGAGCCTCAGCATCAACCGTTTCCTTCATCACCATCTGCTACGTATGGAAATTAGTGTTGACAGCACTTGGAATTAACTCGCTTGATTGTTTTCACAGAAGGAGCCAACTAATAGACTCCTAATAGACTCGGACCAAGCAGTAAACGACCTGGCATAACCCTGGGCAGACACAACTTGCTTCCCAAAACTTCCAGTTTCTCCAGGACAACTTTTTTACATTAACTGCATATAGAGAACTCACCAAAAAAAAAAAAAAAAGCCAGTGGGATATAAAAAATGAGGGTGTCTAGAATGAATAAGTGAATCAGCACAGTCATTGCACTACATCGTACTACATGCTTTTCTAGCTCATCCACTGAAAATCTTTTAAAAATACAAGGTTACCAGGCCTGCCGTTGCACAAGAACCTTCCTGGAGGGAGCAGTTCCAGCTTGAGACGAGTAAGACCATGTCCAGGCCTTGGCAGATCTTCCAGGTGAGCAATAACAGATTTGTTTTTCTGTCAACATGTGGGCAATTTAAGGCTTAAGCAGAAGAGTATCTGAAAACTAATCAGATTAACTACAGCGAGGGCTCGATAGCACTCCTGACTAACTCACTCGACTATTCTTCAGCTTGCTTTCACACTTACGATTCAGAACCTTCCTGCTTCTCACCTGGCTGCCTTTTTTTTTTTCTTCTTCTTCTTCCTCATGCAATCTAAAATAACCAGGAAAATCTTCAAGTACAAACATTGCAGAGCAAAAGGTGAGTAAAGTTAACTTTCACTAATGAGTGTTTTTCACTTTGATTAAGTGATGTTTACCGCCCTCAATATCTATTGGCTTTCAGTTAACAAGTGAACTTATTTGTCAATAATGACATTATCTGTATTTTCCCAGTTAATCTTTTGGAAATAGATGAAAAAATAAAGAAGAGAATAAGATAGTAAACAACTCAAAACGACCCTTAAAGGGCCAAAACAATCCTCCCTCCAAAGTTGAATATTTGTGATATACTGTCTCTGTCAAGTTTGCATCTTCAACCAATAAGGCCCTTCAGTACATCTGCAAAGAGGGGAAAGCCAGGTGCCTCACAAGCATTTAATTACTTCCCAATTTATGCCCACTTTCTTGCACAAGAAATAAAATAGTTTCCTTCCCAAGTATTGGGTAATATTTTCATTCAAAACCTAGCAAAACTGCTCCGGGAGCAGACCTAGACACGCTTCTCCCTGCCTGCCCTTGGTTTACTTCATCTTGCTTTTTAATAAAAACAGGAGAATTTCAGAACTGATCGATTCTCCCTGAATCTCACACAGAACCTCGTGGAAAAGGGTCGAGTTCAGACTCCAGTGCCGCCGTCAGGAGTAAGGGTTGCCACATGCTCAAGATCTCCTTCGTGCAACCGCCTTGATGAAACCCAAGCAACGGAACCAGCAGCTCTGAAGACGGTTTAGAGTGACACAAATAAAGATAAGAGAAGCCCACCTACCTTCAAAGCACATTTCTGCCCTGTCTCCTTGTTGAAACACTCCAGCACTTTGCCGTTAATTCCTAGCCCGAGCACCCGCTTGGAGAGTTTGTAGTCGTCCGTAACGGCATATTTTTTTATCTCTAGCTTGACGTGAGCGGTTCCCCCCGGCAAGGATTTCAGCTGGCTCTTGCTCTCCGCGTGACTCTCCGGCTGGGATTCCTGGTCGCCTCCGCTCTGTTCCATCAGGGAAGAGCTTGGCCGTTGAGCGGTATCCAAGAGATTCCCTGGGGTTATCCTCAGCGAGGCCTTCTTCTCTCGTAATAACACGAGTATTAGCAACAAGTGGGAATTACGTGTGCTCCTGCCCAGACACTTTTCTCCCTTCTTTCCTTCCTTGAGGAGATGGCAGGCCTTAAAAGAGACCAAAAGGGGTTCACCTCAGGAATGTATTGAGCTTTATAAAACTGGCTCTGACGTGCACATCCATCAGTTATGAAACATAATTATCTGTGCTGCAGGAAGAGTGCTGGCCGAAACCTCAACGGGAGCACCCTGGGCAGTGCGATGGTCTCCGCGTTGCCCTTGCAAATTCCTTGTTGCACGTGGAGGCCCGCGCGACGGTCTCCCCATCCCATCCCATCCTGGCAGCGGAGGGCTCCGGGAACACGGGGGGCTCGGGAGGCGCCGGCCGGGCAGCTGAGAGCAGGGCCGGGGTGTCACGCACCAAACGGGACCGCGGCC